AAAAAAAAAAATAATATGGCTTATTTATAACTTAAGTACTTATTTTTCAAACAATACTTAATATTCAGTTATCTTAGAAATTATGAAACTTTTTTTTATTGTGTTATGAAAAAATAAAATAAAATAAGAAATTTCCATTAATTCTTAAAACAAATGCCAGCTATTTCAAATATTTAAATGCAAATTATTCATGTTAAAATATTACTCATTACACACATATACAATAATAAATAAATTAAAAAAAGGATTTTATTTAAATCATAGATTTAAAATAATTACTAAAAACATTTAAGAAAAAGAAAGAAAAAGAAACTCAAATCAGGCTTTTAAAAAACATATAGTTTTTTTTTTTTTTTTTTTTTTTCAATTGATGAATATTATTTTATGAATATTAGAATTCTGAAAGGCGAATTAATTTTTTAAAATTTTGTATAATAGGAAATATTTTATAAATATTTTTAGTTGTTAGAAAATTAAATAATTATAGTTCAAATTTAAATAATTTGATTTCTTATAATGATAAAATTTACAGTTTTAATACTTTAATTAAATTAGCATAATATACATCTTATTGTGCATAATTATACTTGAAATTTACTAGAACAATATTATTTTTATTTTCTTTTATTATTTTTATATTTATCAAACTGAAAATTTATTTATTATATGAAAAATACTCATATTTTATATAAACCTCATTATATTAAATTAAGTTATAATTATGATGATAGTATAAATTTAATCATGTGTATTTATTTTTCAAAATTTGATTATTTAGTTTATTAAAATTATATGTATCGAGTTTTTATTAGAAACTAAAAATAAAACATAAAATATTATTTCAAAGTACGTTTTGATTGATTTAAAAGCTATGTTGTTTTATAGTTTTAAATTTTTAAAATTGATAATATGTTCAGATTAAATTATAATATATTAAAAATTAATAAAAGAATTAGAATTTAATGTAAATTAATTCATACTATTATAAAATATTAAGACTTTAAGAAGAAATATTCTTTCAAATTCAAAGAATTCAATCTAATGACTTCTAAGAAGTTAAGCTTATTAATAAAGTTTATGTAGAAAGTGATTAAACTTAACCATCTCAAGTTGAGTTCATAGAAACTTAATTCTTTATGTAATTATATGTTGGTTTTATTTAGATTAAAAAAATAAATAAACTAGATTTAATTTTACTTATATTTTGTTTTTTCAAGAAAAGACATGAAACATTTTATATTTTAAGTTATAATATCTAAAATTAGTAATAATAAAATTAATTAATCTTATTCTAATATTATAATTTTGATAATTGATTAAAAAGATAAAATAAAATAAAGTTGTATTTATTTAGAATTTTTTATATTTAAAATATTTAAAACTTTTGATCCAAGAGTTATATAAGTAGGCCTAAATATTTTTACAATTCAACAAAAATACCAATGTCTTCTTAACACATATATTTAAAAGTGGCAAACATGTAAATTATTGCAATATGTTTTAAAACTCTTATTGAGTAAAAAAAAGACTAGTTGTTGTGAAGAAAGTTTGTACTTTTATTGTAGAGAACCTAAGTACATTACTCAATATTGTTCAAAGAAGTAATGCAACTAAAAATTAAAGAGTATAGCTATCTAAGGAAAAAATATGTTGGAAAATAAGTTTGTTAAGCTACAATAGGAACTATATAACTAGAGTCTTGTCCAATACCTAATAAAGATTTTATTTTTTAATTAGAACCTTTTCTTTGTATTATAATAGATGTTTCTTTAAGGCCTAAAAATCACATAGCCTCAATCTTATTAGATTCAAGAGCCTTAACTTATTTCTTATATGAAGAGTTTGTTAAAAGACATAACATACTTTTAATTAAAAAAAACTATACATATACATGTAGAAGTTATAAATGATTATCTATTATCTTTTAGAAATATTAATTATAAAATTATATCTAAAAATATAAAAAAATAGTCATAATAGCTATGAAATATTTAATATATTTAGATATCTATCTAATTTAGTCATTTTAGATTTATTTTGGCTATAAAAGTAAGAGAATTATCCTAGTGCAAGCTAAGATATATAGGTACAAGACTTTTTTTGTATGTTGCCAAAAAAATGTTATTTTTTACTATTTATGCCATATCCATTTGTTATGGTGAAAAGACTTCAAATGACATT